GCTGATAGCTGCTTGTATAGCTGCTTCACGGTCGCCCATTTTGGTTGAGTACGTGGAGAGATAACACGTGTTTTGTGTGGGAGTGCTGAGATTTGTGAGTGATCAACATCCCCGGGTGATCAACATCACGGTCAGCTAGCTTATGGTTTGGTTCGCAAGCGAAGCGCGATGCTGCAGCTGTGGTATGCAGCGTGACTTTAGCTGCAGTAGTTCCGCGTCAAAGCGCGAGCCGAGACAGGCAAGCTTGCGCCAAAACACCAACGCCGAATGTCTTTGGTAAGAGAGGCATGCGACAGGAGACTACGGTGGTAAGACGGCGAGGCGAGGCTTGCATGCGTCTACATGCACAAAAGAGAGAAGAGAGGAATCGGGAGGCGCACGACGGAGTAGATTGCGAGTAATGCGCTTATTCTTCCTCAAACCCTTGACGTGAACGGTGTCGTGTAGGATAAAGTGTGTGTGGTGGCGAGTCGTGACCATCAATACATGGCGCAATCACTGTCCGACTATCGAAGTATTCAGCGCGCGGGCAGAAAGGTTGATCAAAAACGGCGCCGAGTGCTGGCCACGTCGCTCCTCTCAACGTTCTTCCAGAACGCCTCGCTTACTGCCGACCAGCCTCCCCTATTATTCACGTTTACATCAACACACATCGCCAACAGTAACGCGTGCAGTAGAGGCAGTAGAGTACCAAACATGCGAGATAGACGGTGTAGTGTGGGCTAGAGCGACGCGCCCCAATCAGCCCATGGTCGGAGTTAGTCCGCAGACAGTCTCAAACACGTTAATGCAGGCTGGTGCAAGGATTTGTGTTAGTCTGTACGGCCGAGGGTCCATGACATGCGTCCTGGCGTCCCCATGCATTCTCTCGCGCGCTCAGACCTCGACGCGACAAGACGAGGGTTCGTGGAACGCCTCGGCCAGTGCAGCAAAGCCGCTATTTCTAGATACAGGAGGATTAGCTCTGCGACGGCTTTACTAGGATCCCCAATGGCGTTTCCCTCGACAAGTGGTAGGTTTGGGAGCTCGACAGGGTGGCTGAGGTCCAAGACGTATTAGCAGCATGTTTCAGACGGGCTGAACAGGCTGAACAAGGCCATGGCCGAGCGCGCCTGCGCGTGCGTGCATCCAACGGACGTGTATCGATTGCAACAGTGTACCGCTTTGGCCAAAACATGCAGCTGTACTGTACCCAAAACCCCACGGCCCCATATCCAACAACATGCACGTCGTTCGTTCGCGCCGTCGACCGGCTTGTTGGCCTCTCATGCAAATGCAACGCTTGTGCAGCAGCGATCAGGCCTTTATTTGACTGCAGCCCCCCAGCCCCCGTTGTGTAGTGGTCAAAGGTAATGCCGGTCATACTGCTTGATTCGCAAATGCGCCATCAATAATAGCCTCCTCCTTCCCGCCGCGACACCCCCCATCCGACTGACCCTCCCCACTCTATTGGCACCCTTGTCCAAAGGGTACATGACGCTCTCGGTCTGATACATAGACCCTAAAGAACGCCTCTTTCCCCCCCGTTCTTTTGCTGCTGTTCCCGTTGCGTCGTCTGTGGCACGTCTCTCTTGTTTAACCTCGTCGCTCTTTCTGATCGAGTTCGCTTCTTTTGACTCTTGGGGGCTATCGTTGTTAATTCTTTTATTGCCTATTCTTCGCTTGCTTGCTTGCATCTATTTTAGGAGGAGGAACATTTGCCGCGCTTGTCGCTCCGGTCCGCCTTTGCTTTGCTTCTTACCCATCAATTGATTTCGCAACATCGGTGATGGTAGTCGAGAACCTCAACGCTCGCTGGGTCATCCCGGTAAACTTCGCCTAATCGCAATCTCCAGGACTCGTCCGCATAACCGCATTCGCCAACAATCAGAATCAAAAACGTCGCCTTGCATCCATATGCTTCAACGAGAAGGATTTGTCCTCGCTGATATGAGTGCGTCAGCGCCGTCGCCTTCGCCTTTGCAGCGCTCTAGCTGGAAAGCTGAGGCCATCAGGAGAGGGAACTTGAAGATTAGTGGGCCGATCCCAATCACCGAAGATGTGCCGCTGAACGAAGAGGAAGAGAAAGAGTACGCAGAGAATGGCGTGCTGGACCGAACATTGCAGCCGCAGGACGCGCCGGTAGATCAGTATGAACGCTCGCAAACTCCGCCAAGACCGCTGCAGTCACCCCCACCTGTGCCTGAACAGCACATGTCAGCTTTGCGATCGAATCCGATAGGAGAGCAGACGCAACGCGATGATGCTGTTACTGAGCGACCCATCTCTTCAAGATCCCCACCACAGGTGCGACAGTTGAATGAAGTACAGCGCGAAAGCGTTGTGCCGTCGACTTCAATTGCATCCCCGACTCCCTTTCGCTCAACGCCAGAGAGCGCCAATAAGGCTGCGCAGAAGAAGAAGCGCAAGAGCGGGCTCAGGAATGTATTTCGGAAGATGTTCGGACGAAAGAGCCCGGACCGGGAAGATCACGAGGAAGAACCGATGCAGCGTGGTCATAGCTACCACCACAGCGTAAGTCTGCGATAACACTCTGACGATCCAATTCTGACGATGGACAGGATCCTGGTCTGCTGAGGTCAACACCACCGCGAGAACCGAGGACACCGCCTGCCGGTCCTCGGATATCAGATCTGCCAGTAGAGGAGCTACAGCCATTGCACCCATTGGGCCAGCATCTCCCGTATCCCATGAACGTGAATGCCCCACCAGCGAGTCCACCCAAGGAGTATCTCACTTTCGACATGGATAGGCCCGATCTCGGTCGCCGGAGAGCGACACTACCCACTGTTCCAAGTGCTATCACTCACCGGCGCAGTCTGGACGAGCCCCGAGAGAAGCTATCAGCGTGGGATGAAAGGGTGGAAGAAGATGAGATGTCTCCAGGTATTGGTATCGCCGTGTCCAGTCCCATTCAAACGGTGGCCTCAAGACACGACAGACGACGATCGAGAAGCGCAGATGCTCTTCATAGTCTCGCCAAAGAACGCGCGTCGACGGAGAGAGGACGAAGTGCGGAGATTAAGTTCTGGCGGGAGAGCTACATGTCCGGCAGCATCTACAGTAGACCGCAAACGGCGAAAACGGTGGAGACCGTTCGCACCGTGCCGACGCAGGAGCCCATGATTCGTGAACCAGACAACGAGTCTTTTAACGAAATGAGCGCGACGCTCGTCCAGGCGGACGACTCGCAGACCCCCACTCCGATCACCGAAGAGCCGAATCGCGAGCAGAAGCACGCTGAGCAACCCCCAGTCCCGGCCTTCAACTTTGGCGACCTGAAGAATGCGCTGTTTGGACCCAAAGAGGAGACTATTCCAGAGTCGCCTCAAGTCAGAGACGTCTCCCCACCACCTCCGCCGCCAGCCAAGAGTCAACATCGCGTGCCCATTGAGGACCGCGTTCAAGATCTCGAACACAGGTACTCTAACCTCGAATCACTTACCCGCCAGATGTCATCCCGCAACAACCGGCAAACCATCATTCTCGAAAACGCACCTCGTAACTTGCGATCAAGGAATCGGAGCGTATCCGCATCCGGTTCTCATTCGCGATCTCACTCCAGAGCAGCACCCAGCATTCACCAAGAGCCCATTCATCAATCAAGTAGCGAGACTCTTGATCCTGAGCCTGCGCCTGGTTCCCCAACTCTAGCGGTACCCCCCGTTCCCAATACGGGCAGCAACGAGGAGAATGCGCGAGCGCTACGAAACGTGTATGAAGCGCTCAGACACGAGAGGGGCGCCAGGAAGGCATTGGAATCACAAGTCCGCACTCTTCAACATGACGTGTCAGATCTACATGCTCTGGTCAACAAACTCATCGCTTCAGCGACCGCTACCTCACCATCGTATCCTACTCCTTCTCCTGACACGTTGATAATCTCAAGTGAAGATCAGCGGATAAGCTGTTCTACACCGAGAGCTCCAACGCATGACCGAAATGTGATTTACGGCCAGAACAGCCATAGCAAAGACCAGCGATGGGGTAATGATGATTCGAGCGTTTACTCTGAGGATCTGGCGCGGAAGCCGAGCTACGATGACGTCGCGACGCCAGACGTGTGGGCGACACCCAAGGAAGAAGGGTTTGGCGGAAGTGGTTTCTTCCATGGTGAGGACAGGATGAGAGGATATGCTTGAGACTTTTGGATCGCTTGATGCGGTCTTGAGACGTGGAATGGTTGGCAAGGTTTTCTTTCCTCTGGATACGTCTGAGTTTGGCATGAACTTTGCATGTTTGTAAGATACCCAGCGTGGGCGTTGATCTGGCGCGCACGCTTCTCTTTGTTCAGCGACTTCTTTTCTTGTGTTTACGGTTTGATTTAGCGAGTGAGCGTATGGAAATGCATGCATTCTTGATCAGTTATTTATAATCATTCATGGAAAATGTGATGCTGGGTCCGCTGCGATCTGAGTGAGGTAAAAGATAACATATTTGTCATTTGAATCACGCAGCTGTATGTACATAAATATGAAGCTATATTGTGGCTACCATCCACTGCCACGCGTAGTACCGCGATGACCCTTCTGCACCTCGTTATACACGGTGATTGGGCAACGGAACGATAAGTCTGTGGAGGAAAAGAACTAAAAAGATGCTTGATAGCTGGGAGACGAGCTGCAAATACCATTGCAATGACGACAAGGCATGCTATAAAGCGAAACTAGAGAACTCAGACAGACACTTCCCTCAGTGCTTACATTAGCTGACATGAACGCCACAGCATCACCAAATCCGCGCCCGTTCCCTCCTCACTCACAAAAGCTGCAGAACCAAGCACTTGATTGGAGTCAATGAGCTTGAGAAGTTCAAGGCTGGACCATCTTATGTCTTCGATAAGACTGTGGCACCCGAGAAGAAGTGCACTGTGTCTTCTTCCTCATATCCACAACGGAAGTGGGATGCAGGCCGGAGGATGACGTACACATAGAGCAAGTAGGGATATCTTTGGAATGCGCTGTTTAGCTCACGGATACATTCATGACAATGAGTCTAGATATACGAAGAAATATAGCCCATACTCCCACGTCTCCATGTTATGATCAAATGTTTTCTATCCTCATCATGCAGCGTGTTCGAACACCGTACCGTCTTGAACTCATACACCAAGCCTTATATCACATAGTATAAAATTGGAGGTATGGTTGAAGAACTTCATTACATTAATCATTATGTACTTGTTCGCTTGCTGGCTCGCTTATAACGCTTCAAAAACATTTCCCCTCCAACAGTAAATACTTCTCATACAATCATTATTGATCCCCACTAGTTGACGTGGGGAACATAGGTGGGACCTCTACCCTCCTCGAAAGTAGGTCCGGCAGGTCCGTCGAGGTAAGTACTTCCGCGGTTACCCGCATAAGAGCTGTCCCTCATGCTCTCGCTGTAACGCGCATCTTTGACAACTTCAGGCCTATGCTCGCCCTTACGGCCAAAGCTCCAGGCGCCCAAAAGTACCAAAGCGAGGATGCCAAGATCGCACAGCTCGCCGAAGATGATGAAGAGAAAAGCGAGGGCTTGGTTTGTAGTGCGCGAATAGCTGTTCACGTTCTTGTAGATGAGTACCAGCTGCGCAATGGAGAAGGCGTTGCGGGCCCAAACAAGAGGCGTAACAAGGAAGACGAAGCGGGTAAGAGCGGACTTGGAGCGGTTCTAGAAGTTGTCAGCACATGCTTATGCGCACAAGAGGAGTAGACTTACACCAGTGACGCCGTTCTTCCTGATACCAAGCCAGCACAGCACTGCCTCGAGCGTCGCACTAGTCGAAGCCGCAATAACAACAGCGACGTAGGTAACGTACAATGTTCGGACAAGATAGTCACTGCGAATCAAACTAGGGTACGCAAGCGTACTGTTGCCGCTACCACGCCTTGCAAGACCAACAGCCCAGCTCGCAAATCCAAGAGCAAGGATAGCCAAGATCCAGAACCCGTTCCAAATCCAAGATAGAAAACCAGGTTCCTTGATACCGGTACCGTTGTTCTGGACGTGGTTGGCGTGGATCCAGATGGCGCCTACAATGCAGGCATTCATGATGATCATGGCGCATTGGTAGAGGAAGGACAGGATGGAGATGATTTTTCCATATTTGATGGAGTCATTGTTGCCGAATGGCGCAGTGTACTGGGGGTAGGAGTAGGCGGATGTGATATAGAAGGGTGAGTTCAGACGGGATTGAAGGGCAACGATTGAGGATTGTGTTGCGTAGGCGATCATTAGGGTGAAGAGACCGGTGATGAGGAAGATTTGAGTTCCCATAGAGCTATTTTGCGTGTCAGTAGCTGTGACATCTGAGTAAGAGAGGCTGGAAGATAGTACCTGTGCCTCTTCTCGGTTGACCTGGTAAACTTCATGAATCTTCGTGGGCGGCCTGGTCCACCAGCAAGCTGACGACCGAACAGAGCGAGGGCCGCCAGGAGGAGGATAATAGCACTTCCTGCTGTAACGACATGGAGGGAGAAGATGGCCTGGACGGTGCTGGTGGTGTTTGTGATGGCCATTGTGCGAGCTGGACGGATGCGCAGGACAGCGCCTGTGCAAGACCAATTCTTCAAATTATTTTGCTATAGTAATGTTGCGTCTCTGGATGCAAACACAAGAGACTTTATCACATCAACCAAATCTATGCGGTCATACCTCACAAGCCGAGGCCATGACGACGAGTTACTGTCAGACTCTGACAACGTTGACGTGCATCGAGACCCAGCAACCTTCTGGCCTGGTGTTTAGCCATGTGACTAAACGTAGCCTCCACGTAGATCGTGCAATCAATGAGTACGGTGCGAGTCGCGATGCTGCGTTTAGCTTGGTCGAATGACGTTTAGCGGCGCGGAGAGTTCGGAATGACGTCGCTAGCCAATAGCACAAGCGAGACCATCATCGTAGCCAGATGCTTTTCTGTTTGAACCCTCTATTTGAGTTGTTTTGTTTGGGCACCGAAGATCATCGCGCTCGTGATGGTGTCATCGTGGTGGAGATGTGAGCGCGGGAGATGTGTTCGCTTGTGGCATGATCTTCCCAGGGGCTTCTTGCTTGTGGGTTCCGTGTAACCGTGTTGACGCGCTAGCTGGTGGGAACATGATGCGCGATGAACCTCGAAGCAGGATTTCCAAGGCGGAAGAGAGAAAGGCGACGATACTCAAAATTCTCCTGCATCGAGTGCACACTATTAGAACGCGTGGATTGGCGAGTCTTCCATAATCGATGACGTGCTCATGGCTTCTTACACCCCGATCCATCAATCGCTCTTCCCAACTCCAACCACCCTTCCACTGCCTCTGAGTCCCAGCTCTTCGGGTGTCCTGAACCTCCGCACGGACTCTATATCATTCCTTCCACCACTTTTGCGTTTGCCATGCTGCGCCTGTTCGTAGTCGTCTTTATGCAATCCACACCCAAAGATGATAAACAAACACACAATGACGAACAGCGCCATGACTGCAAGAATAAATATGAACAAAGACCAGATGCCAGAGCTGATGTAGTCGATAAAGGATGACGAAGCCGAATTGACCATATGTGTCGCTGTGCCTTTCTTGCCATTGGCATCCCAGTCGTGGAACCACATGTGCATTTTCATCGGTTTTTTGATATCTTTACGTGGAACGAGTGAAGCACGGATGATTCCGTACGCGCTCGCATGGTCGCCAGCTGAGAGCAAGGGACGCTGTAGAAGCACGACTTCCAAAACCTTCTGCTCCTCCTTGTCCATGATGATGGTAAGATGTGGAGAGGTCAGATCAGTCCACATCTCCATGACATCGAAGTAGAATAGCAGCGCGTTGGACTCCTTGAGACGACGTAACGAGTAGGAGTATGAAGCGCCAAAGTAAGCACCTCCAAGGTTGTCGAGCTGATTGGATTCAACAAGCTTATCGACATCGTCTTTCGACGTGTCCAACAAGACTTGATTGACGTATATCCGCGGCAGAATCTTTGAGTCTGCTAGCAGTGGAGCATTGTTGATGTTCAATCGCGATGAGTCGTATGGGAGAGAGATGTTCAGCAGCTGGAGAGCGTCAGCCTGCAAAGTCATTCTTACGAGAGTAGGATGCAATCACCAGAGCGTTATTATCTTTCCTCTCAGTCCATGGTGCATCGCTGCCTTGTGACGTGTCCTGGTGTAGGAACGGGCAGCCAATACATGGGAGCTTGGCAATCACGTTGTAGCCTTCTGCAACGGTGGTGATCTCCGGCGCAACTTCCGCAGCTACGAATCGTGCGATCGCGGAAGCCACAATTAGAGGTGCTACCTGGAATATCATGATAATTAATATGAAGATCCGGTTGAAGTGATGTTGCGCGTGTTGACACGTTTGAGCTGAGTGTATGTAAGCCGAGGCGAGTGGGGCGACATCCTGGATCATGTGAAGGCGCGAGTTAGCGTGTTTGGAATACGAGCTGCATCAATTGCATTCCACTTTTTGTATAAGACGTGTAATTCTGGATTTAGTTGCATTGACCGAGCAGACTGGATGTTGAATAAACGCTTTCCTGATATTCGTTTTACTCATTAACATACACACTTGCTCTCAAGGTTTGACCTCTCAAGCGCCGTCGCCAACTCTTCCCTCTCCATGAACACTCGAGGATCAATACTGTAAACACATGTATCCAGAGTCTTTGCATCATGGCTGAGCTACTATCCTGTGTATGGAGAGCCTGCAATGTAGTGAGTGCTCATTTTGTTTTTCCATTTACCTCGTCTTGTCCAGCAACGCCATTCTCTCTCATCAACATTTCCATGATCTCGTTGTCGTCATGATCGTCGTACGTATCGCATTGCGTTTCCAGGCGCTCCTTGCCAGGCGCTTCTGAACAGACCTCTACTGTGTTGTCCGCTACATCCACATCCTCAGCGTCCATATTCCTTGACAGCGTAACGCGAATCGTCATACACGCTGGGAGCGCTTCTTTACATTCCTTGTTCCTAAGATGTTCTTCGATATCGCCCAGCTTCTCCAGGATTCGTGCGCGATCCGCAGTCGGACTAAGCGGCTCAAGTCTAGGATCCAGTTTGGACCGATTGGAAACGACGAGAGCGCCAATCTCAATGATGCGCCTGCTTCGTGCCATTTCGTCAGGGCGTCTCATGTGTCGAAACACCGGGCCTTCCGAGTGGACTGTATGAACAGTTGTGCCAGTGCGGTAATTCAATTCTTCAATGTCGGCCAACTCGTTTAGTGGTGTGCCAATGGGTGTTGGTAACAGGCCACCTACCAACGAGTCACTGTAGATATGGTATGGTGTACTTGTCGGGTTCGTTGGTCTGTCTCCTTGCGCGGGACCTTGACTTGCACTCCTTCCATGCCGGTAGTATAGACCATTCCTTCTCCTGTCTTCTGGTGTACTCGATCTCGCGCGTGGTGCTTGAAGGCGAATGAAAGTTGGGTTGTTGATGCTATTACTTGCAGCGATTCGATTCGCGTCGCTAGTACTCAACGATCGACGACGATGACCGTAGCATTGTGGCAGCTGTGCTGGATAGTTGTAGGCATTATTCGTTTGAGATCGTGTAGGACGGGGACGGTGATTGTAGTCTTGCTGATCAATTATCGCTGGATGAACTCGTTGCAGCTCTAGTGGGTACGGATGTGGTGAGTTTGGCCCAGGGGTCGGGTACACTGCGGCGTTCTGGCCGAAGTCGTAGTCGGAGAAGTTGGGGGTCGAGATTGCGGAGGGGTTTGATGAATCAGCAGGTACAATACAGTCTTCTTCGTATGCAAATCCGAGCTCATCAAATATGTCGCTGTCGTTTGACAAAAAGACAGGCTGTGCTGAATCAGCTGTTCCAAACAATTCTTCGAAGTCGGCTTGTGAGAGTTGTTGATCCTGATTCATCGATGGAGAGAACCGATCAACGGCTGTGCGACTGAGCGGCGTGCTTGTCTGAGACATTCTGTTATGTGCTCGCTTGATCCTAGTAGGTTCACAATATTGAGTAAAACGCGAATGGTCAACCACAATCTATGGTCTGCTGGTACGCGAAAGATGTTACACAAGAGATGGGAGGCTGCGTAAACGATGCCCAAATATAATGCTGTATCTTCCTTCCGTTGGCCTGAGCTGAGACAGACGGGCTTAGAGGGTTCGGTGAGCATAGACGGTGGTGCTGGAGAGGGCGAATAGACGGATACCTACGTACATGACATGACCGCTAGGCAAACATCGCTCCTATGCACGTAATGCATGTAAGCCAGTGCCAAGATGAAACGGGCACGCTCTCGATATCATGTGGGAAGAGAGTTTATTTGCCATGCCTGCGTTAGAAACCATCAGTTGCGACATTTTGGAGACATTCGTCAATGCAGACCATGTTCTTTCAGTCAGCCACGTCGCGCATACATTGTATTACAAAATATTCGCAGGGCCGGAGCGCACATGGAGATTTGACATCAGCGAGTATCCACTGACTGCTGTTTAGAGCCGAGACAATGATCTTTCAAACTCCTCGCTCTTCCGTCTTCATTGAGGCATTCAAGTCGTGGCATCATGAACGTGAGGTTCCACGGTATCTTACATCCATATTATACAAACAGAACTGGCTCCCGAGGCCCGGATGTTCATTCACTCTTTCTTCCCGTCAGCGCCCTTTCCTTTCTTATCCCAATTCCAAACCTCCCAGATCTGTTCAAAAATCATATCACCATAACTCTTCCCCTCCTCAATCGCCTTCTTCTCTTCCTCGAGTCTCCTCTCTTTCCATCCTTCCTCCTCATCACCCATCCACAGCTTCCCCAATATACTCTTCTCTTGCCCCTCCTTCCGCTCTAGACTCTTTCTACTCTTTTCCCTCTCCTCCTGCAATATCTTCTGCATCTCTTTGGCGCGTTCGGTGGGTAGTTCCATTGTGCGCATTGGACTGAGGTTTTGTACAAGGCCACGGCCCGTACGTAGGGTTATAAGGTGGTCGGCTGAGAGGTAGAAACCGATTCCCAGGGAGAATGTGTAGAGGTCTAATTTTCGGGGCGGCATGGCGGCTATTGTTGGACATAGAACAAGGCCGCCGATGGCTAGGTTGCGTGTTATGCGTTGGTAGCGGGCTTGTTGTTCGAGGGCTAGGCGTTCTTCTGGTGGGATGGGCATATTTTGTATGGGGGTTGGAGTCGCCATCTTGAAGTTTGTGGTTGTGCAGTCAAATTCAGATGCAACGCGTCGGTCGGAAAGTAGTTTGCGCAAGTGTTGCAGGTCAGGCAGACGTGTGGAAACGGTGATGGTAGGGCAGTTCAGTGAGCACGATGTCAAAAAGTTCAATGATGCAAAGACGGCGGTTAGCTCCCGCCTCGGCTGCAACTTCCTCTTCGGAGCGGAGGTGCTGCGGAGAACTCGATGTAGACGCAAGCCATGTCCAGTACATAAGAGATACGCATTATAACTGTGTATAGTGCAAGTGCGCCTAAAAATGCGCGGTCGTCCGAGTTCAGTGCTCATTCCGCCATGTTCCTTGTCCTAATCATTCATGCACGACCAATATCATACAACACGCGCCTCCCTAAACATATGCTTTGTTACCGGTGAAACTTCCGCCTCTTTACATCAACTCTGTCTTCGAATCGTGGGTCCTGTTCTCTCGCTGGCTCATCCTCCTTCCTTTTACCCAGCCCTTCAAAAGTTCCACTGCTCCTCAGCCGTTTGGTTGGGGTTCTCTCCTGCTCACTCGCACTGTATCCACCTCGGGAACCTTCCTCATCTGTGCCGGCCGGCCCATCTGATCTGGGCTCCTCCTCGTATGAATCGAACTTTCGCTTCTGCGCCGTGCTCGGAGTCTGCATCAAGCGTCGTAAGCGGTTTTCTTGCAGCCGCCGGTTGACCTCCTCTGTGACATCGACATGTTGAACAACATATGTGTCTTCGATCTTCGTTCGCTTTGCGCGTGGTGTTGGTGATTGGTCTACGAGAGGAGATATAGCGTGGGCGCTGGGAGTCGGGGTTTGCGCAATCGGTGTCTCTGCGGGACGCTTCGCGCCTTCGATACTGAGGCGTTTGTTTGAAGTCTTGACCTGTCGCGTGTTAGGTCGGCATTTCGAGCGCACATGGCATAGCAAACCTTCTTCTTCTCCGCCAGGCCTTCGTCCTCAAGCTGATCCCTGAATCTCTTCATGTCGTCCTGTAATCTACCTGATTTGTTTCGCAGCGATAAAAGGTCCGCGGAGAGCCAGTCCGGCGCATTGTGATCCGTCGCATCGAGCGTCTCATTGAGAAACAGTAGCTGGGCGCGCAGATTCTCGATGTGTTTGTCAAAGTCCTGAAGATCGAATGAGAAATGTAATGGGATTGGTAATTGTATGAATTACCTCGAGCGACAGCTTCGCCATTTTTATGGCAGAAGTTTGAAGACGAACAAGGGCAGACGCATGCAGGAGACTTCGACATTAGTTGCGGAGTCCCGAACACTTGGACCCCCCTGTTCCGATCGGAACCGGAATGAGCATCTTGGGATCATGCCTCTTAACCACGAAGGAGCAACATGATAGGCCATGGTTACATAGCTGCATGACGCTAGTTGATGGGGTTCCAGACTACTGAAAACTGTTCATGTACTATTGTGATTGATATTGTGATGCCAACTTTAGTAGTAGGCATGCCTACTTGTGGCCCCTTCCATCCTGCACGAGTAGCAATTCGTGGCCGTCGTACTTGACATTTCATACCTCCATACAATCTCCCATCCTGCATGAACACTCATTCTACACACGACATAGCTAAATATCGCACTTCTGTTCCATGTTACTTGCATCGCGCCACTGTCGTTCTTCGTCTACGACCAATTTCTGTATCCATGGAAGCGAAGCGCTGGGGACGTGAAGGGGAACTTTTCCCCTGTTGTTGCCGCCTCGTGTTTAGACTGGGTACATGTCGCTATCTGCGAACGGTCGGATGGTAAACTGCACAATCCAAGCTGGACAATTCGACTGTCTTCAACCTTCATCTTCGCCAAACGTAAGCTTGACAGCTTTGGCCTTCTTCTTGGGCTTCTTCGCAGGTTTAGCATCCGGCTTTTTCACAGCTGTCTCTTCTTCCCCCTTGCTCTCGCTCTGGTCTTCACTGATAATCTTCGCCGCCTTGCGCTTCTTTGCATTCGCACCAACTTCGGCAATTTTGTCCTTTGATTGTGACTTAGAATCGTTGTCTTTCTTCTCGCCAACCTCATCGGTGACAGTCTCTTCCCCCTCTTTACCATCTTTGCCAGAGACAAGCGCATCATACTCCTCTTTGCTTAGTGACTGGTTTGTCTCTTCCATGACATAAGTAGGTGCGTCATCCTCGTCATCGTCTTTCTTCATCCTCTTGTTCCTGGCGATGGGATGTTCATGACGAGCTGTATCCCCACTGGTGAGCTGGCCACGCAGGCGTTGCAAGAACGCTGGCTGTGAATTGTCTGTAACAAATTAGCAGGTAATGCAGCGCTGGAGCAAACCCGCTCACCGAAATGCAGGTCCTTTGCTTTGAAGTTGCTCATAGTGATTGTAATGCAAGGAATGCCGATACGACATGCACGTAAGGTCTAGATTGGGCGCCTGGCTGGATGTCGTGTCGATCGCTTAGCGGTAACTTTCCGTGCGGCTCCTTCCAACGTCTTGGCTGTGGAGATTCTTGGGGTATACTTTCAATCTACGTTCTCCATCTCAGAGTTGATTCACCTTATCAAGCCTCTGAGCTGAATTGGCGTGTGAAGGTCCATTCCCAGAATGTATTGGTCCGCTGCACCTGCTATCAGCGTCTGTGCTAAAGTGCTTGGCGCGTCACCACCGACAGGGAACATGTCAACTAGCAGATCTCGAAACGCATACGCAATCGTCGGCCGCTAATAATTTACATTCAACGACCCTTTTCCCTCCTTTCACTCCGTCAGGGTTACAACCTTGAGCCTGTCGCGCCAATCACCAACCGCCCACCATTGTCGTACGCCCATCTGGAGTCACGACCCACACGCTCGTTATCGATCAAGCTCCCTGGCTTGAACACGTCGCCCTTTCCTCGTCCACAACCGTCGCACTCATCTACCACTCTCTTAAACGTCCCCGAAGTTACTTCGCATCGCTCGCGACTGGACCATAGAAGGGAAGGACTGCCATTGGCAGGGAACACATTTCAGGAGTTGCCATCACCAGGGCGCCACTATGGGCTTCCTACAAGATATGACCAAGAGGCTACCAACCTCGAAAGATAAGATAGACACATTTGACGACCTACCGCGCCGCAATGAAAAGACGTCGTCTCGACTATCCTTCTTTCGACGTAGGATACGACTGAAGGGGAGCTCCTCCGTCTCGATACCTCTGGGCCTGGTGCTCCTGTTTCCATGTCTCGTTATAATAATAATCATAATCCTGTTCGTGAAATCGCCAGACTCGCAGGGCATTATGAACATGCCAGCCGGCGGTCCACCATCAATAAGGTAAGAGAACTTCGTCCACCACAAAATGGAGCCAGCAACTAACATCGCGCAGACGGATAAGCGAAAAGTACGATAAGCCATTCGCAGTAGGCTGTCTCGAGCCACAGGTCAACGGACCCCGAGCAAACGCCGCAATCGTAGTCCTGGCGAGAAACAAGGAGCTAGACGGTGTCATACAGTCGGTCAAGTCGCTCGAGAGACACTTCAACCGGTGGTTTCACTACCCATACGTCTTCCTCAACGACGGAGATTTCAACGAGACGTTCAGAGAGACTGTTTTAAGCCACGTCAGTGGTTCGGTGGAGTTTGGAAAGATACCTCCAGAGCAATGGGGCTTCCCCGATTGGGTAGACCCAGAGGTTTACAAGGAGGGAATCGCCAAGCAGGGTGACAGGGCCATTATGTACGGTGGCATGGAGAGCTACCATCACATGTGCCGGTTCTACTCAGGGTACGTTTTCAAGCGCAACTGGTCTTGACTTCTTCTAACATTGGCAGCCAATTCTACAAACACGAACTACTCGCCAAGTATGAGTGGTACTGGCGTCTCGAACCCGAAATCAAATTCTTCTGCGACATCACATACGATCCATTTATCCACATGATTCGAAACAAGAAGACGTACGGGTTTACCATTGCAGTGAAGGAACTGAGGGAGACCGTGCCCAACATCTGGAGATATGCGTCAGCATACAAGCGGAATAATAACCTGACTTCGAAAGGCATGTGGGAAATGTTTGTGGAGAAGCCAGAGAAGAAGGACGAGGAACTCAAGACAGAGCCTAAGAAGAAGAACTTCTTTCCCCAGGATATCATGGATACCGAGTTCGGCACAGAAGCCATGCCGGACATCCATCCCGAGAACATGGAAGGCGAATCATACAACATGTGTCATTTCTGGAGCAATTTCGAAATCGCCAATCTCAACTGGTTCCGAAGCAAGGAATACAACGACTTCTTCGAGTTGATGGACCGTAGCGGCGGCTTCTGGATGGAGAGATGGGGAGACGCGCCTATCCACTCACTGGCCGTTGGAGCACTACTTGGTCCTGAGGATATTCACTACTTCCGCGATTTCGGATACCGGCATACCACGATTCAGCATTGTCCCGCCAATGCCCCCGCCCGGCAGCTCGCACGCGAGCCATACCTAGAGAAGACAACACTCGACGAGAAGGAGCGACTGGAAGAAGACAAGTACTGGGCACAATACGACCCCGTCAAAGAGAATGGCGTCGGCTGTCGCTGCAGATGCGACACGGACATTGTCGACGTGGAAGGCAAAGAAGGGTCCTGTCTTACAGAGTGGGTGGAAGTTGCCGGTGGTTGGGCGTCGCCCGGACCAGATGGACCATGATCTCTTCTCGCGTGGTATTATATCAGCTTCGTGCTATCATTTTGCGGGAGCGTTAGCATGTACTCCCTTTTCGAGTAAGGCGTCAGGTGTTGGCATTGCATACGGGTTGGGCAGCCCTTCACTAGAGTATCAGGACTATGGGGGCGTCGTAGAAGCGCCTACTGGCTGCACATTGGCAGACAGATACAGCACACGAAAACGAATACGAACAAGTCGAAAACACTAACATTGTTTCGGCTGCTGTGAATCAGACACTACGCTGTACGTGAGTCCGTGATCGCCCGCAGTCGGGGATCGCCCACTTTATTGTATGCGCATGTGAACCATGTTCCGTATCTTATCGCTTACAACATGGCCTGCGGGGTATACCCCCATTGGCATCCCACCTAAGCACCTAAGCCCTACCGTCCATCAGCACCCTGTCGTCACCACAACTCGCACTTGTTTGATCATTCACTCACACTCACATTCACTGACAACAGCCCAACAGTCGTTGTATCAGCAACAGTGCCCAGCTTGGTATGTGCTGTTATCTGCCCCGCGTGGTCTCCACTCCTCCCGAAGGCCCCCATACGCGCTTCGCCCGCAGCTAGTTAGGCAGCGTCCACCTGGTGCCCACCACAACCACCTCACCCTTGGCCGCTCCGCCTCCCCTCCTTCACCACACTCGAACCTCTCTGAACCTCTGCGCACTCACTAAGCATTGCATGAACACGAGCTGACATGTCTTCCAGCGAGCCTATTCAGTCTCAAGATCTAGAGTTCCCTCCGGTTCAAGTTGATCGCTCACTTACTAGGCTCGATCTTGAAACACTCATGATGAGGTCGACGCAACGTCGGCAGCCAGAAGAGGCGGGCAGCACTCTCGATGACAGCAGCTATGATCTGCTCGGCGACGGCATCATTGACATGTCCGACGACGAAGCACACACTGAGTCCATCGCGTCCACCGACGGTCCTACCCCGGATGACACGTCCGACGACTACAGTGATGACGACGGCGAGTATGATACCGTCGAGCGAGGCTTGCAAGATAGCACATACTCCTCACACGCTGAGCACCACGAGCACCCCGCCCAAGTACACCCCATACTGTCCGGCGAGGACTCTAGTCTGACAGAGGTGCCCCCGTACCTAAGTGGGAGCATGAGCCCAAGGCATTTCATACTCCACGAGCGAGCCACAAGCAACGCCGATGTAACTCACGGAAGCAGTGTCATAAAGAGCTCAGCGGGTTACACAGACGAGCTTCCACCCGTGTTCGAACGTTATGGTTGCAAAGAGATCAGACTGTCGGTCAAAGCAGCCTTGTCTCAACAACCCCTTACCACCCCCGACACGTACCGAATACTTTACGTTGGCAGTGGAAAGTGGGCAGAAGGCACCATCACGTCCAAGATCGGCGCGGCACTCGCTGCCTACCCTGACGCTTCGAAGACGGTCATGGTCCGCGGTCAGGTCGAGCCATACGCTCCAGTCCCACACACTGACCGTTGTGCCGACATGTTGGTCTACAATGCTGGCCACATTCGCGTGCTCACCGAAGATGGTCGCTATCTGGTGTTCGGTTCTGGCGTCTCTGCTCGCTCTCAAGATCGACCAGACCTTGTCATCCTATGTCACCCAAGCGTCCTTGACCACACTGCTGACAAGCAAGATCTTGCATCTGTTAAGAAAGTATTTGATCGCGAAGCAATTCCATGCATCGAACTTGCTGAGACTAACCCATTCGGGGCCGGGTCTTCTGCTGACAACAACACGTCGTTGCGAGTATGCGTAGAAGGTCGGGGGAACCCAAACACTGACTACGAGCTGAAGGAAGTGCTGCCTCTTGACATCCACCAATTCGATCAACTTGAGCCATCCCAGCTTAACCGCCACCTCGCACTGATTAGTCCTCATCTAGCGACGGCCCAACACACAAAGGCTTTGACTGCCCGTAAGTCGTGGCTCGGCGAGAAGACCCATGCCCGTATGAAGAAGATTGGTCCGCATCTACACTGGGCTAGGTGGCTAGCATCTGCCATTGTTCTATTCGCTCTTGTTCCTGCACTGCTTCAGCATACAGCCTACCTCCCTATGCTCTACCAGAAAGTATCGCAGATTCAGTCGGTATCGCCAGCCGTGTCTGAGGCACAGAGCATTATGTCTACAATCACACCCATAGCGGCAGTGTCTTCAAGCACGGTTCATTCCCCATTATCGTCTCCTACTTCAACTCCGACAGCATTTCAAGGAGGTCTCACCATCGTCCCCCCTCAGCAGAAGCAACCTCACCGAAAGCCAAAGGCAAAAAACGACCAAGTTGAAGGTTTTGAGATCCAGACTACTGGGGATCATCAGTTCATTCTGCGTCCTTCAAAGACGTTCAGCTCGAGCCGGAAGAAGCCTCAGCTCCAGATTCATGTTTCCCACCAGTCAGAAGAGGTTCCAGCACGCTACAACCGAACCATCACTGGCGAGTACATTGTCGATCTGGAACAGCAATACCGCTTCGACAAATTCAACGTCAGTATTGCCACCCACTCAAAGCCTCTCCTGCGGCAGTCCTTTGAAGTAATGCTGGGACATAACAAGACCGCACTGGATCAACTCCTCGACACCGCCAAGTTGAACATGTTCGATACACAGATCGCCCTTCTAAACGTCTCAGCTACAGCAGCACAAGCAGTGCAAGTATACATGGCTGGCTTAGATGCGTACGCCTCGAAACAGCTTCAAGAAACTAAGAACCGACTGGAGATGAAGACGCGACGGGCAAGACAGATCCCAGAAGCTACATGGATGGGATTACGAGACATAACCGCGCCAGTGCGGACGTCGTCAGCGATGAAGAAGGCTAGGATGAATGCTCTTCGCGTCAGGTGCAAGATGGAAATGGCAGCAGGTTTATCTGCCAGGGGAGATGGGGAAAAGCAGAGCTGGGCTTGTGCAAAGGTGCGAGGAGGGGCATAAAGGAGACGGCACGCAGTGGAGGATTTATTTCGCTTCCTGTACTGTTTTCTTTTGTTTAGGCAGCGGCGTATGTAGGACTCGAAGGCAAACATGAAGGTGCAGAGTTATACCCATGGGATTTGATTGGGATACTGGGATGTATGGTGGGATGACTAGGAGTTATAGGCTTGTCAAATTCATCATATACCATAGTGGGTCTACAGCAGCTTGTAGGCTGGCACAAACCTTTGCCCGGTTTTTATGGCAATTGTACACGCATGACATGTATCTTGTGATCATGTGAGTAGCCGGCATGAAGACTGGACGCAAATATGGCATGGTGCACCATGTGTCAATTGTGACGGCGCGTTGGGCAGGGATATCACGCACGTCCCTGAGCCCAACCGGGTAAGGCGCATTCTGGAGGGGCATCCCACTTCCTCAATTTACAGGCAGGGTGTTGACACAAGAATCCACAAACAACACACCCTTCACCCCCAAGTACACTCCTCTTCTTATCACACGCAGACCCATATACCACTCATCCATAGTCGAAAATGTCTGAAGCAGCCAAGCCCGACCCCGCCGCCGAGCAGGTCGCCAACCCTGCGGCGACTCTTGTCCAGGACGAGACCGCAAAGGTCACAACAGACAAGGCTGCCGACAAGCCTGAGACTACCACTACCACCGAGAGCAAGGATGACAAGCCCATCACCGAGAAGGCGACAGAGGCAGCAGCCGCAGTGAAGGACAACGTCTTCTCCATGTTTGGTGGCGGCCCCGCAAAGATCAAGAAGGACGAGGAAGACGACGCCAACGAGCCATCAGGTGCCTCGAAGCCCAAGGGCGATGTACGAATACCACCAGACACTTTGTAGGGAATTCTAACACAGCGACAGGACGAAGACCCCGAGAACGAGGAGCCCGATGTCGATTTCCAGCCCGTTGTCCACCTCACCGAGAAGGTCGACACCAAGACCAACGAGGAGCTCGAGGAGCAAGTCTTCAAGATGCGCGCCAAGCTGTTCAAGTTCGACAGGGAGTCGCGGGAGTGGAAGGAGCGTGGCACTGGTGATGTCCGGTTATTGAAGCACAAGGAGAACGGCAAGACCCGTCTTGTCATGCGACGAGACAAGACACTCAAGGTCTGCGCCAACCACTACGGTATGATGCATGAAACACGGATATGGGAGTGAATACTGAGAAGTGCATAGTTGTCCCCGACATGAAGCTGTCGCCCAACGTAGGCAGCGACCGCAGCTGGGTCTGGAACGCCGCCGCCGATGTTAGCGAGGGCGAGCCCGAGGCTCAGACTCTGGCTATCCGTTTCGCCAACAGCGAGAGTAAGTGCTGAGAGATGGCTTTGACTAGGCAGCAGGACACTAACTATATTTTGCAGACGCCAACCAGTTCAAGGAGGCTTTCATCAAGGCCCAACAGGAGAACGAGGCGCTTTTCGGCAAGTCGGAGCAGTAGATGGGTCGGATAATAGCGAGTTGGACGATAGGATGAGATATGAAAAGAAGATGGATTGCATGAACAGTGAAGGATGGTTTGGGACGGTATCATATGGTGGTATCACGGTGGCAGAAGAAATTACCCACACCCTGCACATAACTAGATAGTAACTAAATGGCCCGACTACTGTAGTCAACGGCATCCCCCCACGCAAGACTATGGCAGTTGATAGAGTTCGGTAGTGATGGCATTGGTGTCGTGATTGCAAGTTTGGCCGTCTGCTGCGCACAGCCTCACAAGTAATACAAACAATTGCGTCGGCCGGTGTATCGTGTCTCTCACATGGTGTAGAGCAGAAGTGGCTAGCCCTGTCAGGCAGGCTTCCGTGCTCGTGCAGCTTTCAAAGAGCTTGATGGTTTGCGCCAAGACCAAAGCAATTAGTCTCCGTCTCCGCCGCCCCGCGACCATCTCTCTCAGTTAACTCGCCAAATCAGAGCTCGCGACCCAAGACCAGCCACCGCGCATCTCCAGACCTTTGCCCTTCACCACACGCGCACACTCTTTGTCGCAAGAAGCAGACCCCCAAGATCGCGCCCAACTTGAACTCCCTCAACATACCTCTACTGCATATTTTTCCCGCCAGCCAAAACAAATTACCTGCGCAGTAGTCCGTCCTCGCGGCGCATATCAAACAAGATGCCTGACGTAAGTTGCAACCTAGAGATACGCCCAAAGCCATCGCAGAGATAGTAACGTTCGCGCAGGTCAAGCGATGGGTCAAGCTCGTCACCCACCAGAAGCCCATGTACGTACACTTCGCGCGCAATCGCATGCGCCTGTCCAAACCACGCGTCTACATGCCATCAGTCGCTAATACGCACCCACAGCGCGGAGCCTTCGCCCGTTGAGGGCTACCCCATGCGATCATGGAGCATAGAGATCTGGCTGCTAGATGACCAGGGCAACGAGGTCATGCCTAACGTCTTCGAGAAGGCTGTTTACAATCTGCATCCTTCATTCGAGAAGAACAAGCACAGTGAGCGCGCCGCATGATGCGCCGTTTGTGAGACGTCTTACTGACAAGTCAAAAAGTCATCAAGAAGCCGCCGTTCCGCATCGACGAGAAGGGTTGGGGTGAATTCGACATGACCATCGTACTGACCGCCATTGGCAAGGGCGGCGACCACACGCTCGACCACGACCTAAACTTCCAGGCAGAGCGCTACGAGGCCAAGCACCAAGTCGTACGTTCCACAACAACTACACAAGTTTACTTTCCTCTACCCGAGAAACCGCTAACCCTCTTGATTGTAGACTTTCCGTAACCCCAAGCCCGAGCTACTCGCCCTCCTCGCAGAGTCCGGCCCCGCCGAAGCAAACGGAATGCGCAACAAGGACCAGGCCAAGAAGAAGAACCGAAGGGACAAGAACGTGGACATGGAGAAGCTTGCCGATGGTCTGCAGAAGCTGGGCGAGGATGATCTTCTACACGTCGTCACCCTGGTACACGACAACAAGACTAGCGAGACGTACACTAAGAACGACGTTGAGAGTACGTTTGCATTCTTCGACACTAACATGCAAGGGATTGTGCTAACAAATTGAACAGATGGCGAGTTCCATGTCGACCTCTATACTCTACCCGATTCCCTCGTCAAGATGCTCTGGGACTTTACGGCGAGCAAGGTCGAATTATAGAGTGGTTTGATCGCTGTTTGACGGTTTTCCGTCTTTCTGTCGATCCCGACCATTCCCGGTATCACGTTCGCATTTCACACAACCCCTTTCCCAGCATAGCTATGCTAGAGGTGTCGTGGCAACATCATAGTTGCTTCGGTCCTTGCGTTGGAGGATTGTGTGTTCTATGCGAATCAACGTCCAACGATATATCCCCACCATGTTTTTTGTTCTTCTCGTGTTCATGAGCCTCGGAGTTTAAAGGGCAAAAGCTGGGTGTGGCTATTGCATGCATGAATAGCAAATCTTTTGGATCGATTGGCGCTGGATGAGGGTTACAGGCTTATTATAGGTGGTGGAACTATGCATGGGAGATGAATGAGGGTACCTAATTCTTGATCTTTTTCTCTCTTATGTTTCTCTCCTGTTTTCAATTCTGTGACTACTTTTATTAACGCTGTGTACGCATCACTATTGTGGATTCTGTCACTTCAATGGAGTCCGACTACGACCTAGGGCAAAATGCCTGAGCTTTCCAACACCACTAGCACATCGACGTGTGCTATCTCCAAGGGTGTCAAACGTGGGTATTGATGTGTTCTTGCCACCAAATTTCATTCCAGGGCAGTGTTTTGGAAATCGGACAGCTGTTGTTACAACCCAAATCATCACAGCAAGCTTTTCAAAGGCTTTCAGCGGGATTGAAGTACTACGCCTTACTTCGGAGTAGACCTAAGAGTGATGTTCCCTCTACCGTCCGTTGTCCAACTCATAACTTTCAGGCTTCCAGTCTCGGGCGTAGATGATGACGTTCAAGACGCGGCGGGGAGGAACTCAGATGTGGGTGACCTCGAATGTGAACATGACTTTTCTTTTGTCCCGGCAAGGGTCCACATGTCCTGGAAGACGATGTTTTTTGGTAGTACGAATGGTACTGCTAGGCGAAATGGAGAAGACATGGTCACCATCTTGATCGTTGTTGACTTTCGATCCGCACATAGTTTGCTGTCATTGAGAACTTGGAATGTAGGAGAGCGACTTCGCCCAACGGACATGATGAGTTTGTTTGCGTGTTTTGATGCCCCTCCGCACACCATATTTTGCAGATATGCGTCTTTTGGTAAACAGGGAAGAACCGGGGATAATGATATCGAAGAGAGAAGAAGAAGCAGTCTCCCACTCCAGAATTTATACGTCAATCAGGCTGGTTTCTCACGACATAGGTATGCTCGCCGGACCTTTTGGAGTACAATTGTCTATCCTCACATCATAAGATTTTCGGTTTCAACTTTCCAAGTGCAGCAAAACTTCTCAGACATTCTTCTTCTTCTTCTTCTAATTTTTTCGACAGGACAACTGAGCAGCACTCCAGAGCCATGATGTGCGACTATTACGTTTTGAAGAAGCTATTCTGCACATGATGAGATTGCTGGCATGTTTTTCCAGTCTGTACGGGAGACCACATACGTTGTGGTTGGACAATCTTTGGTCATGGCTTTCTGCTAGGAGTTCTTTCGTATAGAAGGAGGTGGTGAAATTTTGAGGAAGAAAGAGAAAGGCAGTAACGTTTTTCCGCGTTTCTGGACTCTCTGCCATGAATGTCTCTGAAAACCACTTTTGGGAAGAATATTAAAAGGTAGCGTGAAGCAAGGAACTTGGAGGGAGTAGGAGGACTTTTATAGTTCATGAAGCGAGGTATGGCTATAGTTTAGATCTTTCAAGCATACAGTCGTTGTTTCAAAACTCAGGTAGTTGTGCGGATATGTCCTCAGTCGTCAGTATTTAAGGTTTTCTTAACCGCAAAGGGTACATCCTTGAATGTGGAAGCTACCGGGCCGTGGGACATGAACGTGTTCATGCCCAGATTTTTTCAAATCCATGAGAACGACCAATTCTTTTTTTTAGAAGATCTGCAGCAGGAATGATCGTAGGAAAATGGACCGAGAAGAGATAGATGGGGTCTATGCATCGACCCAAGCGCCAAGTCGAAGTACTACAGTTTCAAGACGCCACTCGTGCAAAGCTCGCTGCTAGCCATGGACACGGAGCCAACGAGTTCTGGAGTCCTGTGTCTTCAAAATCTCCATGTATAGCAGCTCCGATTTCCACCCACAAATGACCACACAAGAAAGGCCTTTGCATTTCATCAACCTAAGGAATGGCAATTTTGGAAAAGATGTAACCGTCTTGTGCAAGCCGGAGAAACCAACATCGTTTTAGAGTCGGAATTTTTCGGATACGATTAGGAGCGACGAAAACTTCCATGGAACCTTGGAGGACTGTTTCGCGACCGCTCAGCCATATAATCATCCAGGTTTTGTTTCGAGACTCTGCACGAACAACGACATAAGGCGTATCAATGCCACTTTTCGAACCGACAACAACATCTCGTCGTTTTCTGCTCTTTTTTATATGAAAAGAAGAAGGTGATGTAAAGTAGAAGAGAAAGGGTAGATAGTAGTGAGCTCCATTATTTATATGTATTGAGCATGTGGGAGATGAGTTGAAGCAAGACGAGATGAGCTCTGCATGCTCGTCAGTACGAACGTAAACATACGCGTGCCTCCAGCTTGCTACCGCCATGCTATCTTTGCCTCTCAAACAGCATGCTCATTGGCTTACATAATTGTGTCTGCATTCTTCTTCCAATCCGTACACCACATTCTTACCCTTGCTTCCTTCCACTCTTCCGATTTCACTCTCCTGCTCGTCTGCCGCCTCGACTAGCAAGTCAAGACTGCTTCTCTTCTCCATTCCGCTCTCCCTTTCACCGTTGCCATCACCATCATCCACCATAACTACCACCGCCTGTAAGCCACTGCTCCACCGTCAGTGCAAGCCCCTCTTTCTTACTCTTCTTCTCTGAAATCTTCTGCCGCAGCCTCAACGACCTAGCCTTGCTAGATTCCCCACTAACTGGTTTTTTCCACACAACCCAGCTGCGCGATGGGTACTGGACGACGTTAATCACGGCATGCCTTACCCGTCGTACGCGCAGCCGCTCTTCTTTTGTGATTCGTGGCGAGCCGGTGACAGATTTGCGGTGTGCGCGCTTACGCTGACGGATCCGAGTTTTGATCATGTTGACCTCCTTTTTAAGATGTTGGATACCTAGCTGCCATGTGCGGGAGCTTCTGCGCGCATACGCCAATAAATCCATGGGCGAGGTACCAGGACCGATAGGCATCAGATCAGCATCACGGCCCCATCGTCGTATGAAGCGCCAAGAACTCTGTCGTTTACGCTGTTGAATGGTAGCCATGATGGTCCTTGCTTCCTCTGTCAGATGTAAAATTTCTTGGATTGCATAACCCAGCGTCTGGTTCAGAGCTTGCGGCGTTGCCAGTTTCGAGACAGGCATTCTGCGAATCTTCGGTCTGTACTGCTGAATGGCGGCCAAGACGGCTCTGGCTTCCTCGGTCAGGCGGGAGACTTCTAGAACTCCAGATTGAACTCTCTTGTTGATCTCAATGGATATAGTCGTGCCCAAGGAAAGGAATCTGCGGATAGGTACTCCGGTAGTCTTAGATGACACTGGCCGAACCTTCTTTTCTTTCTCGGCCTTGATCTCTTTTCTGAGTTTTGGTTCGGGCCTCGGAGCCTTCCCAGCCTTCGTCTCTTCTCTCTTCAAGGCACTTCCTGCAAGGCTTTGTCTTTCTGATTTCCCTCTCTTCTTGGAGGAGATCCTCCTTACGGGCGTATGATAGTTGTTTCCCAAGACAAAATTAGCCTCTTCCACCAGGTTTGCTGCTTCAACCATGATAGCCTTGAACCTCATAATCGTTAACCGAACATGCCGACGTCGAATCGTTGTCATGATCTCCCTGTGTTTCATCTTGTTTTTATCGAAGGACTTCTCAAACCTCCGCATTATGGCTTTCGCTGTTCGGACCCGGAGTCGACCGGTGGTAGCATGTCCTTCTATCTTGAGTTTGCGAACTAATTCTGAGACAGCTAGTCTTGGAGGTGATCGTGATTGCCTACTGACAGTAACGGTGGTGGACAACCCGCGCCCACTGAAGAGAGTTTGGGGAATTGAAGCATGTCGGAAGTCACGCTTCTGATGAGATGAGAATAAACTGGCTATATGCATAGTCGGCCGACTGTTAGCTGAGTATGGCGGATTGACGGACGGCTCAGATTTCAGTATATTTGACTTATGGAACGGCTACTTGGATTATCAGAATACATTAGAAGGAGAAGCTAGTCCATGACAGGCTCACCTACGTCCTTCTTCTGACTCCCTTCTTTCTTAGTATACTTTATCCTAGCATCCACTTTTGTACGTGTGTAGGTTGACGCGGAGAGGCGGGAGAAGGGAACGTCGATCGTAGTAACATTGACTGTGACGTCCTTGTCGCTATTGACGTGGGAGTGCCGCGTGAGTGTCATCGGCCCTTCGGTCAGCGCACCAAAGCCATGGTGGACATGTATTTTCTTTGTTGGGCGTGGACGGTGTTGCCAGGACTCTCCAGGAACCGAGTCAATAGTGCTAGGGATAGTGCCTAGCTCCCAACCCCAATGACGTTTGGGAATAACACTTGCAAGCCTGCGGGTATTAGTCTCCTGAGCTATCTTTTCAAGGTCTGATTTTGGCGAGATAAAAAATTGTATCGAGTCTCCGTCTCGTACCACTGGCGTAAGGGTCGACTCAAAGTCTTCCGGATCATTGATTGTGTTAGGAAGATCGTCGTGCTTTGATGGCTCGGCAGCTTCATTGGCCGGAACGGGATCCAGTGATAATAGACCAGCTTTCTTTCCCCATCCGCCTCCGCCACTCAAGACCCGATGGAGACGTGCTCCTTCTGTAATCGCCTTGGACACGAGCGTATTCCATAGAGGTGGATTGCTGCGCCACAAACGTTCCCACGAATCTTCCTGTTTAGAGAGCGTATCTTCGCTTTCCATTGGCAAGCTAGAGAGGAGCTCATCTGTTCTAGCAGCAATGACGGTTCTCAGTTCTCCGGGGATCACGAGTGCCCAAGCCACTGTTGCTTGCGCTGGCTGTCCCCGCGATCTGAAAAAACGAGGAACGACATTTTCAAGTTCCGAGGAGGCCTGCATAGCTTTACCTTCCGGCCCAATAATCCCGCGGATGATGTTTCCCATGCACCCTTCAACCAAGCGCGGCATTGTTAGCGGGATCAGGGGTACGTTGAGAACGGGAGGAATTGTTGCACGATGTCCTACTTGCTCAATCAGACGGATGCCGTGATGAGAAACGTTCCTCTTGGACTCCAGAATCAACCCTTGACCCTCACCGAAATTCTTCCAAGTCGAGAGGATCATGGTTGATGGCATACCCGTCTGAAAAACAGTATTCGAGAGAGGTAATCGTAGTGTATCTTGATAGGTGGTGTCGTTGAAGACATGTTGCGCAAATATGAAATCGATGGCACCTTTGTCTGACGGCGAAAGACTCTGGGATGACACAGAGTCAGCAGGCGTAAGCAATACGTAAGTCATTCCCTCGAGCCCAGTTCCAGCAGTAGGTGGCTCGGTGGCACGTCGCGATAGCTCTTCGTCTCGGTCTCCGTACTTGAATCTACGGATGGGAAGCTTGTCTACGACGGCACACAAGGCATCTACACGGAAACCTTTTTCGTAGCTCGTGTTGTAGTATATTTTCTTGAGAGCTTCATGGAGGAAGTCATCGTCGAGTAAGTGTTGCGCATAAGACGGCGTGACGAGGAAGACACAGAAGGTCTTTTGGCGTGCTACTCCAGGATTGAAAGCTTTGATATGGTCTATGAATTCATGTGGCTGGGAGGTTGTTAGGGTGTATCAACAAATCGACTTGATGCTCTTACTTGACTCTCAAGGGACCTTGGCACGATTGTGCCGCAGTGCAGGAAATGCAGTGGTGATGGAGATACATGAGGTTGTGATGGAGATGTAAAGGGAAGAGGTGCTAGTGGTTTGGAGCCTCTCCATGTATTAGATGTGCTGGATGAAAAGCGCAGAGTGCGAGTGGCGGCAGCGGCACGCCTCAGGACTGGCCATTGTCGGGCGACCAGTAGAAGCATTTGTCGAGGCTCAATTGACCATAGTGAAGGGTGGAGATGGGGTTGAAGATGTGCAGATGGTCATGACGCACGACCGAAGGCTAGCAGATGGCACTAGCAGACATGCCTGCAGGCGCTGGAGAGGAGATGAGTACGTAAGCAGAGAGCCGCATCTCGCGACATTGGCCGTAGTAGCATGGCAAGCACTCCTGTCCCCTGCCAGCCCACGCATTGAGCCTGTCGAACCAGCCGTGTCGATACCCGCTGGGAGCCAAAAGGACGCCCAAGACCCGCCTTCGTGTCCGTATACGCCGCTGACGCTTTTTGGTGCGCCGGCCAGGCCACGTCTCGCACACCTCCTTGCGCCGAACCACGCCCGCAACCTCACCACCATCTGCCCTTGTTTCTTCTGATGCGCCCTTCATAGGCCCCTACCATCCTGGCAGCCGCGGTTCGCCTTCCTTCCTAGTCGTCCACCCACAATGTCACGCTCGTTTCGACGCTCGAATCCCATTACCATAATCCTTGCCGGCATCCTCTGCATTGGCTTCTTCGTTTTCTTCTTCTCTGGCACCGATGTGCCGTCAATCACCAGAAAAGGAGGGGGCGAGGTAGCCTCGAACCCACTCTCTCCACCATCGCTACCGTTCCGCAAGTCCAAAGCGAACGCTCCACAGGCCGCGCCGCCCGTCGTGCACTACTACATGAACAATGTGACCAACACGCGCACGCCAATCGAGAACGAAGAGACGGTCCTCATCCTCACACCGCTGGCAAAGTTCTACCAGGAGTACTGGGACAACCTCCTCAAGCTCAGCTACCCACACAACCTCATCTCTCTGGGCTTCATAATACCAAAGACAAAGGAGGGCAATGCCGCATACGCTGCGTTGCAGGCACAAGTCACCAAGACACAGACAGGATCCAAGAAGAACCGCTTCTCCGCCATCACTATCCTCCGTCAGGACACCGAGTCCCCACTCCAGTCGCAAAGCGAGTCCGAGCGTCACAAGATGGAGAATCAGAAGGCACGACGGGCGGCTATGGCCAAGGCGCGCAACTCGCTCCTCTTCACAACCCTGGGCCCCACAACCTCGTGGGTTCTGTGGATAGATGCCGACATCGTCGAGACCCCGCCTACCCTGATCCAAGATCTCGCCGACTACGACGTGCCCATCATTGTCCCCAACTGCTTCCAGCGATACTACAACGAAGAAAAGAAGGCTATGGATATTCGGGAATATGATTTCAACAACTGGATCGACAGTCCCACAGCAAAGGATCTTGCTTCTAAGATGGGCAAAGATGATATTCTGTTGGAAGGTTATGCCGAGATGGCTACCTACCGCAGCCTCATGGCTAAGATGCACGATACGTCTGCGGACCCCAAGGCCAAGATCAAGCTCGATGGTGTAGGTGGTGCCACTCTGCTTGTCAAGGCAGAGGTACACCGAGACGGCGCCATGTTCCCGCCCTTCGCCTTCTACCACCTCATCGAGACTGAGGGTTTCGCCAAGATGGCGAACCGATTGAACTGGGAAAGTTTCGGATTGCCAAACTACCTTGTAAGTCATTCTTCAGCATGCTTACCCGGTACTGCTTGCTAACTTTTATCCCAGGTGTACCACTACAACGAGTAAGAGGACTGGAGGCGATGTACAATTTATTTGCAAGCTGCTTCCTTTGGCGGTCTTGGGGCGGCGTTGAGAGGGGCACACTACTGCTACATTGTTGTTATCATGAGCGCTGCATGTACGAAATAGTCATGTATCAGAGGTATAGAAGGCTTGCTGGCAAGAGATTCCTAGGTATACCAGCAACATCCTTGAATTGGAATATGAGAGTCTGCACTACAACAGTTTGCACCTTCCCTTCATCCAAGAATAAAGCAGTATGATGCGCAGTATCCAGACTGTTCCAAAAAGCTTAGCTTCAATTATGTGGGCTGCGGAACACGCTTCGTTTTTATAGGCTGGTCGCGAATGCGGGTCTTGCGTGACTTTCAAGCACGATCACGCTACGTCCATCTTAAGCTCTAACATGCCTGATCCAGAGTATCTGCAAGCATTCAAGGGTTAAGTGCATCATGCATCGATATGCGACATATACGCAGACGACTATGATCACCCCCGCGGGGACCGGCTCATCGCGTGCGACCGATACTCGCCCGAGTCCACCTCGGTGCGGAATGACGTCTCCTACACCATTCACTCGACCCTACCGTAACAATATCCAGAACTTCGTCTATACGGGTTCACCGGAATAACGCAAACATCGCACAGATACTAGTATACAGTTCAGAAAAGAGCAGGGAAGCATGGCAGACATAAGCGGACCCCGTAAACGCGGTACCGACCGCAGCGACACCATGTCACCACGAACGCTCAGCGCCGACGAAACCTCTCCCATAGTCACAAGCTCGCAATCCCACAACAACCAGGACTACAAATCCATATCGCCTGATATGCGTGCGCGCGACCACTCCTCCACCACGAAAGCCGCAAACCCATCTCAAGATCCGAATGGCGCGTCTTCCATACCTCAAGAATACGCGGTTACAGAACATGGTGCACGACAAGAAGGCACGGCAGGTAACTTGCAACCGGCAACCGACCAGAGACAGTCAAAGGGTCATACTACTACGGAGCGCGCAAGAAGCGCAGAGAGAGAAGCGGCAGCGGTAGAACGACGGGAAAAGGGTTGGTGGAGCGGGTTCTGGGAAAAGTACGGCAGCGTGGAACTGGACAACAAGGGTAGTGTTGCGAGAGACCATTTAGCCTTGGGTAAGCACATCTTCCCATTCTCTCCACCTACATAGAAGCGTAAGGATGCCGGTACTAACAACACTCGACAGAACGCACTTTCTTAGCCTGGCTCCGAACCTCCCTTTCTTTCGCCAGCATCGGCATAGCAATAACGCAACTCTTCCGCCTAAACACATCCCTATCAAACTCCCCAGACGCATCCCACACGTCCTCTCCACAAGCCAAACTGCGGCACTTGGGAAAGCCGCTCGGCGCAACCTTTATTGGTATTTCCATCTTGATGCTTTTGATAGGTTTCCATCGGTACTTTGAGGCCCAGCATTATGTTATACGGGGCAAATTTCCTGCATCAAGGAGGAGCATTATTATAGTTAGTGCGATAGCGGGCGCGCTGATAGCCAGTTCGCTCATCATCATAGTGGTTACGGCGCCGGGGGCGTTTGAGAGTTGAGGAATCGAGATGATAACGAAGAGAAAGACTTAGTTTATCTTGTTGCTAAGCTTGGGTATCTTTGATTCATTTCCATCGTACGTGATTCTTCTATCTTTTCAGAGAGGTCAACGGCTGTGTTGTTGCCTCCGCCATATGCTTGCTATCGTCCAGAAGCCTGGTTCCCCCCAATTGATCATCTACGAACGACGTTCTAGACGCCTTGGAGACATCCTGCTCTTACTCAGATAGTCCAATGTTTCTATCCAGTGATCGCCTTCGTCATCTCCTCCGTGGTCTTGCCCGCTCGCGATGACTTGATGATCTTTTGAATCATATCCTCCACAGCGTCCCAGTCCGATGTGTCGATAGGGTGTAGATCGGTCTTGAAATAGTTTGCGATGAAGTTCAGTTGCGACCAGCTGTCCTTGTCGTGGACAAAGGTGAGGGCGACACCGACACGTCCGAAACGACCGGTACGACCAATGCGGTGGAGGTATGTCTCGGGGTCTGCATCCCTTCCGTTTGCCATGGTTGGAACGTCCTAGTAGAATGTTAGCATGTCTCAGATACGTCTTCCTAGAATACAACTTACGTAGTTGATGACCATGGTGACGGACTGCACGTCGATACCACGAGCAAGGACGTTGGTGGTGATGAGCACCTTGGCCTCTCCGGAGCGGAACTGGTCGATAACGCGATCACGGTCAGCACCTTCGAGTGCACCACTCAATTGTGCGACCTTGTGGCCTTCAGCGACCATGCGCTGCTCGAGCTCCTCAGCCGTCCTTCGGGTCCTGACGAAAATGATGGAAGATGCTTGTGTCATCAGACCATAGAACTTGAGCAATGTGGCGTACTTGTCGTTATCCTTGTCAATATCGATGTAAAGTTGCTTGATACCCTCAATGGTCAACTCTTCGTGAGCTAGAGTAAGCGTGTTCGCGTTCGGTGCGAAGCGCTTAGCGAAACCGATGACATTGGGCGGGAAGGTGGCGGAGAAGAGGACTGTCTGAATGTCCTTGTTCAGAAGTGATTTGACACGAGTACATTGCTCGCCCATGCCCTGCTGGTCCAGCATGTTGTCGGCCTCGTCCAAGACCAAAATCTTAATGCTCTCTTTGTTGATGAGACGCCGCCTCAGCATATCTTGAACAGTGCCGGGAGTGCCAACGAGAATTTGGGCGTCGAATTGTTGTCCCCTTCGTGAGGGGTCGGGAATAGCAGCCATAGTCGTGAGGCCTTCCATAAATTGACCCATGTGCGTGATGACTCCGAGAATTTGGCGAGCGAGTTCTCGACTAGGCGCGAGCGCCAACGCTTGTGGCCGAGGGTTGGACAAGTCGACACGGGAGAGGATGTTCAGTGAGAAGGCGGCGGTCTTGCCAGTTCCCGACTGCGATTGGGCGATCATGTTGGTAGGCGGCTCCATCAGGAGCAGAGGCAAAGCTTTCTCCTGAACTTTGGAAGGCTTGCTGAAGTTCATGTTGCGAATGCCCTTCAGAAGTTCCTGGGAGCTGTTGTTGTTAGCTCGGCCGGTTTGTGAGAGCGTGTGCCTTACAGATTTAGCTCCTCGAATGACTTGACGGAGTACAGCGGGTTGTTAGGGTCTGCCTGCAAGTCGGCAAGCTTGACCTCAACCTTGAACTCGGGTTCAGCCAAGGCAGAGCCATTTCCTGGTGGACCGCTGCCGTCGGCCTGAGCTTGTTCGAGTGAGCTCTCTTGGGGTTCTTGGGCTTCTTGCGCAGGAGCCGCCTCGACGGGCTCTTGCTTGATGGGCGTCTCCTCAGTTGTCGACATGGTAGGCGATTGCGGGTCGCGTTGCAGGCGGTGAAGTTGGGGAAGCTGCAACCTTGGAGACAGTCGCGGTGGTTTGCTGAGTAGAGCGGCTTGCTGTGAATACAAAGGTGAGGCTCGCTCGAAATGGAATGGTGTCGTGTGGGGTGAGGTGATAGCTGTATTGTTGCAGTTACCAAGAACGCGTTGGAAATTGTGAGAGCTCCAGATGTCGACTTTGGCGGGGCTGAGGCGCTAGCCGGGTTTAGTGCGCGAGCCGCATGAACAGGCCCCGAGCATGTGTGCAGGCGCGACCGAGTGAAAGCGCTCCATAGCCCTGTTCCTGCATGCCATTGTAGTCGTCTGGCACGACTATTCACAACACCACATAATAGAACAAGAGCAGAAGAATCCCAGGATCCGACGTCACCGGCCCAAGATCCCGGCCTTCCCTCCTCGGCACGCACCGCCTCGTTACCATTCCTCCTGCCCCACTAATTGGGCAGCCGGTAACCAAGACACCTGGTATACTCCGCGTAACCCTTCCCGCCCTCGCCCTCGCCCCAGCAGTCCTCCCCCCTCTATGTCTGGGGTCCTAGTCCCCTCTCTCCAAGTGCTCGACCCATATATATCTTAGGAATCATGGAGGTCGACATTGCGCCCCAGTTCGGCGCTGAACTAAAGGTATGCGGAGTTGGAGCGGCACCACCGAGCATGCGCTGACGGATAATCACAGGATGGCTTCAAGACAGTCAACGCTTGGGTACGTCATACACGTTTCCTATGGGTTTCCGAGTGACCCTTGTATAGGCGCTGTTGGCTATGTCTGTTGCGCTTCATGTTACTGATGCACGCGATTGCAGGTTTCCGGTGGCATCTCCTGGCTCGACGACATCCAAGCATTCTACCGCGAACGAAGCGCGATAGAGAAGGAATACTCGGCAAAACTCAGCGCGCTCGCGAAGAAATACTATGAAAAGAAGGCGAAGAAGCAGAGCAGTCTGAGCGTTGGTGACACGCCTACCGTTACTCCAGGCTCGCTCGAGAGGTACGACTCCTGTCGCATGACTTTGGGCCTCCCTGACACGTCCTTGTAGCGCTTCCATGACCACATGGGGTGTCCAATTGAGCACCCTCGAATCGCGCGCCGCCGAACACGAACAATTCGCTGGCGCTCTCATCACCCAGCTTGCTGATCCCTTGAAGGTCCTTGGTACACGGACCGAAGAGTTGCGCAAGTTGCACGGAGACTATGCTGCCAAGCTGGAGAAGGAGCGCGACAACCAATATGGTGAGTTGCGCAAACAAAAGGGTAAATACGATAGCGTTTGCCAGGAGGTTGAGAGCCGGCGCAAAAAGGTTGATGGCGCATTTGACCACGGCAAAGCCAAGGCACGTAATGCTTTCGAACAGCAACAGATCGAGATGCGTAACGTCAAGAACACCTATCTCATCAGTATCAACGTGACCAACAAGCAAAAGGAGATGTACTACCACGAGTACGTGCCTGAGCTGCTCGATAGCCTCCAGGATCTTTCGGAGACGCGAGTCAACAAGCTAAATACTATATGGTCACTCGCTGCACAGATCGAAACCCAGACACTCACGCGAAGCACCGAGTACCTGAAGCACCTCTCCGGCGAGATTCCGCGCAACAACCCTCTGCTCGACTCGATGATGTTCCTACGGCACAACGCTGGTTCGTTCCAAGAGCCTGGCGACTTTCAATTCGAGCCCAGCCCGGTTTGGCTAGACGATAATAGTATCGCCGTCGACGAGCCTGCAACGATCTTCCTGCGCAACGTTCTCACCAAATCAAAGACATCCTTGGGAGAATATAAACGAGAACTCGATAAGAAGCGCAAAGAAGTTGAGAATGCCAAGGCGGTACGGCAGAAGATAAGGGATGGCAAGGACAAAAGAGACGAGGTGGATATTGTTCGCGCTGTTTTTGCTATACAGGAACAGATGCATGAGGTGGAACGTCAGAAGGTGAATGCGGAAGTGGAAGTCTCAACAATCACCTCAGTCGTCGGTGACTTGAGTATCGGCGCAAGGAACCACAACTTCAAGTCGCAGACGTTCAAGATACCTACAAACTGTGATCTATGTGGAGATCGGATATGGGGTCTATCAGCAAAAGGATATGACTGTCAAGATTGCGGCTATACGTGTCATAGCAAGTGCGAGATGAAGGTACCTGCCGACTGTCCTGGTGAACAATCCAAGGTAGAAAAGAAGAAATTGAAGGAAGAGCGGCAAAAGGCTGCACACACGGTGACAGCAACAAACGGCACTGCGACGAGCTCTAATGCGGACATGCCGCGACTGGGAAGAAGCGACACGGTGAACTCCATGAACACCCTCAGCTCCGGCTATTCAGCGACTGCGCATCGGTCCATATCCGGAGGTATGTCGCCCACTGTCGAGGAGACTCCTCCACCACCAGAGAAGAAGGCGCCCATAGTGCCGGGTGCTAGGAAGAACCGATTGGTTGCACCACCACCTACACAATATGTCAAAAACGACGAGGACGTTCCTCCACCCCCACCCAAGTCTGCAGAAGCCAGGGGTAGAATGCTGTACGCTTATCAAGAGAATGGGGAGGGCGAACTGACTGTCGCGGATGGCACGGATGTTGCCATTCTAGAACCTGATGGTATGTCATTAGATGTCTCCCACGTCCTAGGGGTTATCAACCGATTCACTAACACATTGCCACAGACGGTTCCGGATGGATGAAAGTTCGTGCTGGCGTCAAAGAAGGTCTTGTCCCAGCAGCGTATGTTGAGATGACGGTGGCAACGCCACCCACCACGGCCTCTACATTCTCTTCAACAAGGCCGGACTCGACGTACTCTGCATCGTCAGCATCAACCACTAACTTCACTGCGGCTGCCGCTCCCGGTAAGAAGAAGGGTCCCGCCGTTGCTCCAAAGCGTGGCGCAAAGAAGCTGAAGTACGTGGAAGCCTTGTATGACTACACAGCGCAAAGCGACGTGGAACACTCCATGTCAGAAGGAGATCGTTTTGTTCTTATCAACATGGAGGCTGGCGACGGCTGGGCAGACGTTGAGAAGGATGGCATAGTACGTAGTGTACCAGCCAACTATATTCAGCAAGTCTAGGTCACTTGTCTGGCAGCAGTTCGAGAGATGAGCTTCTTCTGATTGGATAATTCATTGTACTCACGGCGCAGTTGATGCTGGAAAGGAGCCGTTTGCATGGAGAGGTATCGCCAGAGTCTGTACATACCTGAAGCAACCATTCTTACCAGAGTCTTTGCCGTAGGTCCATGAAACACATGTCGATAACGGTGTCGCAGTCACGAAACATGGCTGGTCATGTTGTGGCACCCATTAGCTCTGCGTGCTAAAGAGCATGTGGGGCTCCAATGATGAGCGCGCAACTATCTCATCTCGTCACATCGCTTCCTCCAACATTCCTTCATCAACACCATCACATATCGTCGCATCGCAATCGTGTATTACCGCAGGCCTCATGATCGTATTGTACCTGATACAGACTGCTGCGCCTGCGCCCGTCACACTCGACAACAGGGCTGCATGGAGCACGAGCTCCGGGTAATTCGCGCGCTACAACGTCGCTTCCACGATGGATGCTGTGTGGCCGTATGAATCCCGAGTACTGACGTTCGTGAAAGAAGGCAGGGACTGTTACGCATGCTGCCGCGCAGACATCACTACTCATCGAGTTGAATCCAAGCCAACGCGCTACTTCACGAGGTCAGTCATTATTCGCCCAGGTTACGCGAAATATCGTGAGTGTACATACATTCTGCATACCCCAAGAATCAATACGACAGTAACATCGGGGAATTAGTACTACACTAGAAGGCGTCGAAAAAAGCCGTCGAATACCCATAGCAGGGCAAGCGCTGTAGTCAAGAACTTGCTGAAGCTGTCCCTGATACGCTAGAAACGTCATTTAGAAATTTCTTGGCCTTCACGCGTTTCTAGCTTTCTCTCTACACGGTAAATCTACTCGTGGAATATGAACGCAAATAGCTATTTGCGGTCTAGCGAAAATTTGACATTGCACGACACGTCGGTAGGAAGAACCGGTTCATGCGTGAACCGAAGCCATGTTCGGATCGAGACATTCTTAGGAACTCAGTGTCCCCTAGTCGATCGATGCCATGCTGTTATGGACGAAACGTTCTTCGTGTATGGTTTCAAGGTTATTTACCTCTGTAGGTCGACCAAGGAGGTGCACTGTCGTCCCCCTCGTACACGTACGTACGTGATACAGGCTGATATTCTACTTGGAGAGCACCTCCCTAGGTAGGTACCTATGCCACGCAGTTGTGCCACTAGCCAGAACGGTAGTATCAGTGAGCCGTCCTTGAAATTGGTAATCTCTCGCTGATTGTTACTTTCCCTCTTCATGCCATTGAATTGATTGTCATCTTCATGTTCACTCCTTTCACGTCGTATCTCATTCAAGATATCCCTAAGTTGTGTATGCACTCTTTCTGGTCATACCCAATGCTCTTTCCACTTCGAGTGACCGGCATTCGCCCATTCTTTTGACACTCTAGAACCCAGCAGGCGCATACCCATCTCATCGCTCCTGTGCAAACGAAGCAGCCACGCTAGCGAGCCCCCGTCTTGGCGTCACAGTACAAACAACCCTCACCTCACTCTCGCTCTTGTGCCCTCGTACTATCTTCGTGGACTTTCCGTAGGCCAAACTTGACCCATCCGCCTTCACGCTTCACCGGTCATTCTTTCGTGCCTCCACCCGGAGTTGTATCTCCATTTCACTCATTAGACACTGCCAGTATACTACTCCGCCACTCTCTCGTGCACTCCACCGCGTAGCGAACACCAGAAAGAGCCAAACAAGCATCTGGATATTCAAGCATCTGTCAAAAGCGTTCAGCAAGTACCCATTTGTACGGAAATAACAAGTCAGTCGCTCTTCCTCGTCGCTCTCTGCTACGCTGACTGTGATGGGACAAGTTGTCAGCGACGTCCAGAAAACGTGTCGTGCAAAAGCCTATCATGAAGATTCAGTATCTAATTACTGCTACTGCGCTTGTTGCAGTCACCGCGGCTAAGCCGCACCACTTGCACCGTCGCGTCCACGCCAATGGTCCGGCCAAGCGTGGCACTATCTTCGTACCTGCTGCAGTGGAGACAGAGATCGTGTACTGGCTCGATGATCACGAGATATCAGAGGAAGAAGTCAACCAGGGTATCACCAACGGCACTTTGATGTGGGGAAACGATGGTGTTTTGTCGACATCAACTAGCAGTTCTGTCGCATTGCCTACTCCGCCTCCAGCCTCCGATCATGAGATTCAGGTCCCCAAGCCAACACCAGGACCTACTCCCGAGAAGCCTGTGGACGAGGTCAAGCCTGTCGCACCCGAACCTCAGAAGCCTGCACCACCACCAGAGACGCCACCCATCGACCCTGCACAGAGCCCTTCCCAGGATAGGCCGCCTGTACAGCAGTCGGGCACTTCGTCGAGGCCTTGGGCAGACATGGTCGATAAGGACGGCCACTGTGCTGAGTGCGACAGGAAATTCCCGGACGGCACGATCCTTTGTACAGAGTTCCCTTACGGCTATGGCGCTTTACCTACAGCTCAAGAAGGCTTGGGAGGCTGGTCGGGTATCCAAGATCCCCAATATGCCGGAGCAGATGGCTTCGATGACATTACTACCGTCCCAAAGGGGTCGTGTTCAGACGGCACTTGCTGCACAACCGGTAGCTTCTGTTCCTATGGTTGCCCTAACCCTTACCTCAAGGCTTCATTCCCCTCTATTCAAGGCAGAACAGGTCAGAGCGTCGGTGGCTTATATTGCAACAAAAGACGGGTTTCTGGAGATGGCCGACGGCAAAATCGCAGACACGCTATGCGTGCAAGGATCACAGCATATGGGCGTGAAGGTGCAAAACAAGCTGTCAAAATCCGTCTCTTTCTGCCGCACAGACTATCCAGGTATGAAATCTGCTCACAAACTTTAGATAATCCCTCACGTACAGTAGGCACTGAGTCCATGACTTTCCCAGTCACTGTTGGCCCTGGAGAGACTGGCTTCCTAGCCAACCCTGATCAGCAGAAATACTTTTTCTGGCAAGGTAAGAAAACATCGGCTCAGTACTACGTCAATAAACAGGGTGTACCAGAAAGTGAGGCTTGCACTTGGGGTACACCGATGGGGGGTAAGGGTAACTGGGCACCCGCAGTCTTCGGAACATCCTTCGACGATGGTCCAGCGAACCAGGGCTTCTCCAGCATAAAGCAGAACGAACTATGCAAGCAAGAGCGACTCCGTTACGATATCACTTTCGTTGGTGATGGTGTTGTCTCTCCTTGCAGGTACAAGAGCGCGACAAACCAGTGGTGTGAAGGCGACACCTGTTGGGAAGACCCGGATCGGGGCTGCACTGTATGCCCTACTATAGTGTGATCTGAGAAGAAAAAGTGCTAATAAGAACAGGCCGGGATTAAACATGGCGATCTCATGGTTGTACTATCGGACGGGTAGTATACCCGCCCCCCGACTAGCGTTACGTTCATGTACCTCACTGTCGACTCGCTTTTCATGTTGTGGTCGTACTAGATCTCTGGCTCTTACGACATTGTTTGCACTATCTACCACTCCCACGTCAGCCTATTTCAGCAGGCTCATGTATCACTGGTCAATTATTTCACAATGTCGAAGGCCCGGCGGACTGCGGTAACGATCTCGACGGAACTTTTGGAGGAGGTTTCGGATTTCTTGAAACGAATTACCAACTAGCTTTCTTCGGATATGCAGATAGTTTTCTCTTCTGTTAGCAATGCTACCGAGATTTCTACGAGTATCGTTCTTTGAACGGGTTGGTGATGGATCATCTTTTTGTATTCAATTCCCGGAAGAGCCCTTCTCCTCGTACAGTTCACTCCAACTCGTGGATAGGAATCGTACAGCATGACATCTCGCAATCATAGAGTGAGAACAACAATACAAAGATAAAATCCCATTAAGCTTATGAGCAGCATGAAGACCAAATCTCACTTCACTATGCTATCCGCCCGATGCGGGGGTATCGTACGAATACACCGACGGAGAAACTCGTACAGTTCATACGCTAACTCCCTTATATGCCAGACAACTCTCTCTTACCACGCTGAAACAGGCTCCTATCCTCCCATGCCCATACAAAAGTATCTAGCCCACAGTCGCGCTGTGGGTGACGCTGAACATATACAAAATGAAGAAGATAGAAGATGCAGCATATGACGAAGTGAACACTGCCTTATTGTTGTGGTCACACAACGAGTTGTGCCGGCGGAGTTGTCATGGTAAAAGGTTGAACGCCTGTCGCCTGTATCGCTTCTTGAAGTGTACAAGGTGGGCATAATTCTAGTGTATATCCCCGTAAGCTTCGCGCAATCGCGCTTCGCTTTAGTGTGAGGCAAAATGATCGTCGTTGACCAAGGCAAGAATAAACGGTTTAGTGGCTAAGTGTCTCAGCTCGAATCTGGATTGAAGTTGAGAAAATCCGTTGGGTCGTTCATGTTGAGCGCGAGGCTTGTGTCGAAATTGAGGAACGGATCATGTTCCGCTGCTGTTCCAGTGTCATCGAGAGATTCACCGGTGTGACCGCCATGTGTAAGACAACCAACACATGCGCAGCCATCGCCACATTGGCAAGTACCAGACGCGTCTGAGCAGCTTGGCAAGGTCATTTCGTTCCAGAAGTAGGATGATGGCGATAGCGTCACTGTATCTTCATCTTTGGTATCGCTGGGACTACTGGCTGCGGGTGAATCCATGGAGTCACTTGGTTTCCGCATTTTTGTATCACCTGGCGCCGGCATGGGAGGTGTGTTGTAACTAAGGCTGCTCGAAGTCGAGAATTGGGCCTGCTGTGGTTGGCTTGGTGAAGGAGTTAGTTGTTGTGGCCAGTTCCCGGGCAATGCCATTGGTACCTGCGCCATATTTGGCATATCCATGCTTTGTTGAAAGCTCATTTGCGTTGGTGTGGGTGTTGTTAAGCCTTGCTGCATTGCGTTGAAACTCATGTTGGCTTCCGCTCCGTATCCGGGTTGATGTGGGTATGTAGGCATGTCGTAGAGAGGTGGCGCCATGCCTCCGAACCCGCCGTTGTATTGAAAATGGGCCATGATCCGGACATACTCCATCATCGTAGCGTTATTGGGATGGGCTGCGCATCCAAAGCAGCTACATGACTCTCCACAGTGACAATTGTGTTCAGGGACGTGTTGCCCGATTTGGGGACTGGCGACAGACGGAGACATCGAATTGTTCGTGACTGGGCTCATAGACACAGAGTTCTGCCGATGGTAGGCTGCAGCCGCGTGATTGTAGATTGGAGTGCCAAGGCCGAAAGGGTTCGACGCAGCTGATGGTGTTTGTGGATGAAAGTTTTGGTACTGTGGAACCACTGCTTGGGCGGGAAACTGGAACTGGTGTCCCACGTGTTGATAACCGTGTGATTGGCTGTTGACAGGCGCATCTTCTTGTTTGCGTGATGAGCAACAAGACTTCTTTTGAACTGGCGGCTCTACAACTGGCTTTGGCTTGCTGCCACAGCACCCTCCTTCTTGGACCGGCGACAGGACAGGCTTTGGCTTGCAACAACTTGAGACGGGCTCATTCTGTGCAGGAAGAAGACGTGGCGTTGAGCTCGCACTTGACGGAAGTGATGCTCCATTACTATTGCTTGTTTCGGAGGGTGTGTACGTGACGGATGAGGTTTCGGTTTTGGCGTCGAAGCCAGCCTGGATAGCCTTCTCGAGGTTGTAAGGGGTGGGCGCAGCCGATTTACGCCTACTCTTCGTAATCCGACTGTTTCCTGCAACGGTAGCTGTGGGCGGAGCTCGTTCTGACGGACAAGCACATTCTGACGTTTTGGGAATCGTGTAGTTGATAACAACACGCTCGCAACTGCAGGATCCAGTAGGATGTGGACAGCTACTCAACGGCCGACCAGGCTTCCGGACCTCAACCAGCACTCGATCTCGGTGATCGCATTTCGACGAGCGATGACCGCGAATGCACGGACCGCTAATCAATGTCAGTCAAAGTATATGGCGAATAGACACCCTGGACAGTGCAATGCAAGTCGCAGTCGCTAAAGAATTTTCCGGATAGGTGCAGTTTGCGCGCAACAAATAGTAGAGAGGATATAGTAAAATAAGACAGAATGAGGGGTGGAACAAACAGATAAGAGAACCTACCAGGCGACCTTCTTGCGCTCTCCGTTGACTTCGGCCCACATGATGCGGGGCTATTATGAGGTCGCAATAACTTGCTCAATCTACGGCATGTAACCACCAAGTGCGCCGTGTATCGGGGACGAAGTAAGACTGCTGGTGAGAAAGAGCTTATGTCCAAGCTTACTGTACACCGCGCACGTGAAAGTATTGCAGAGGGGTACAGTGGCGTGCAGCGCAGAAAATGGAGTGGCAAGGTCCTGGGCTAGACGTATGACCCTCGCCGCATGGGAAAGTAGCCTACAGGTTCGGGAGTGGTCCGATGTGGGTGTCCAAAAGAGAAGGTAGACTCGGCCCTCGGCTTGGCCTAAGTGAGCTGTGAAGGGTCCAGCTCCAGGTGGGTGGAGCGTTGATAACCCTGAGATTTGGCGCCGGCTTCCCGCAGTGTCGGTGATAATACTGTATCAGCACAGGCGTTGATTGATGCAATAGCGATCCTGAGCTCGGAACGGATGAAGGGTGGATCGAATGTCCGGGGGGACGTCGGACATGCACACGGTTAAAGTGGCGGGGTCTACAATCGAGAGCCAGCGGAATCAGGCGCTGGTTTCACTGGATTATCACCCAGAATACGGTCTGGAGAATTGATGACTTGACAGGGCTCAGCGGTTGGTGGGACGTGCAAATATCCAGTTCAACACCGCGGGAAAACGCAGCTGTCACACCTCCCCACTAGACTGATGAATGACTCGGGACTTAAGGCGTCAAAGGCGTGGGATCTGCTGGTCGGCGCTCGAAGGTTTGTCGTGAACTGAATGGATGCGACGTTTGGCGGAGGGTTGGATTAGGCTTAGTCCCTTAGCGTTGAGCAAGTTTCTTACTAAGCGGGTTTAGTCGCTTCGAAACGGCACAAGTAGAAAGGTGACAATCGAGAAATAGACAGCAAGGATTGTGTCCTCAATAGGAGGGATAAGTGAAGGAGGTGTCGCGATATAAGAGGTATGCGCGATGTGAACAAAGCGAGCGCGATCCACGAAGAGCAGCACCTGCGCCAGCGTGTTTTTGTGGTCAGAAGAACCGTGGAAACGACGCTGCGGCCGCCGGGTATATCATTGGGGCGTGGGGAATCTTGCGCCGGCTGGACCCTGCTTGGCTCGGGCTCGCTTCAGGCATGTGAGTACCGCGATAATTCAGTCAGTGTGGGCGCGATTGGTAGGCCGGGTATCATTGAATTACTTCGCTCTGAAGCCACCTGAGGCACTCCCACGCCATAGGGCTGGTGCAACGCCCACTGCTACAGCCCAACAAGGGAGCTGTAGACCCTGCTATAGTCACAGGGTACTGTTTGGCCAGCCCTCTGACTTCGTTGATGACGACGATCCGCTGTTTCGAAGATGGAGTTTATCTGGAACGCGACTTGGACAGGCATAGCGGTGGCTGGTTAACCGGGCACGTGCCATCCGTGGTGGCTCCGCTCTTTGAAACACCCAAAATACAGTCTTCGCCAAGGCTATAACTTCACCACAACTTGCCTTCCGCCATGTCGTCAGAGGCCGGTGAAGAGGGCTTGGACCTGTTCCAAGAGCCTGCTGATTTCTATGAACCGGAAAAGCAGGCAACCTTCGCGTCTCATCAGTTGCTTTCCGGCAAGGAGTTCACTGTTCGATTGGTCGGTCATAATCCTTTGTGGGTAAGTTATGCACTTGACTACCGACATGCCGAAACACAGTATGGAACTTTCTGACGTCTTATGCGTTGGTTTCCAACCTTCTGGAACTTTTATAGAAGGACCGTAGAAGCGATTCGGCACTCATCTGACTTCTGACGGTCATGCACTATCTCAGCACACTCACTGACGTATTCAGGGTCATTTCCTATGGAATGCGGGGCGAACCATATCCGATTACCTGGAAGAGCATGCAGGTAAACTCGTAAAAGATCGAACGATACTTGAGCTTGGCGCTGGAGCGGGACTTCCAAGCCTTGTCTGTGCTCTCAACGGTGCCGCTCAAACGGTCGTCACAGACTATCCTGATGCCGAGTTGGTCGAGAATTTACAGTACAATGTTGACCACTGTGAACTGTTGTCTAAGCCTCCCAAAATAGTGGCGGAGGTTTGTGACTGTGCTCAACATTGGCGGACGTCACTAATATGCGCACAGGGATATCTCTGGGGTGCACCTACCGATGACTTGATGAAGTATCTGCCTGATAGTTCGGGCTTCGATGTTCTCATTCTTGCCGACCTTCTGTTCAACCACTCGGAGCATGCCAAACTCATCAAGACTGTGCAGCTGACTCTCAAGAAGTCACCGACATCCC